CTGTCATCTCAGGAGGGCCTCCAGCAACCAGTGGCATAATTGTAGATGCCAGTTGGCCCATCCTATGTCACACCTATGGGTTACCCTTTGAGACATTGAAGATGACATTAGACACTATGGCTCTGGACACGGCACACAGGAACGTGAGCTTTAGTAACTAGCCTCCATCTGCTATTTATTTGATTTCCCGGAAGTTGCCATCCCCTGGTTCTATCAGCTCTCTAAAAATTTACTGTTCCTGTTGAACATGCAATATAAGCTGGACTTCAAAGCCACTTCTTTGGGATTACTCACTGAATGAGTCCCATGTATATATGAATTATACATGTTAATAAACTGTTTAGCCAGGTGTGGTGGTAGCGCACGCCTGTAAACCCAGCGGCTCAGGAGGCTGAGGGAGGAGGATCGCTGTAGGAGGATCGCAAGCTCAAAGCCAGCCTCAGCAACAGCAAGACGTTAAGCAATTCAGTGAGCCCCTGCCTCTAAATAAAATACAAAATTGGGCTTGGGATGTGGCTCAGTGTTTGAGTGCCCCTGAGTTCAATCCCTAGTACCCCCCACCAAAAAAATGAAAATAAATAAACTGTTTCATTTTCTTTTGTTAACCTGTGTGTGTGTGTGTGTGTGTGTGTCAGGGGTCCATTCCAGCTAAGAACTTAGAAGAGTTGAGGAAAAAGTTATTTTTCAAGACCTTAAATTTCCTGTTATATTTATATTGTATTATATTTTGTTGTTGTTTTAAATATAATTGGGGAGTGAATAAGTTATTTATTTAATGGTTGCATTATAAACTGTTTAGCACCTGGCTAAACAGTTTATTAACACGTATATTTCATATATACATGAGACATATTCAATATATCATGGGATATATTCAATGAGTAATCCCAGAGAAGTGGCTTTGAAGTCCAGCTTATATTGCAGCTGATATTTATCAGTGTACCCGTAGATTTCGGTGAATCATTATATGTAAATTTTACATGGTTGAGGAGAGGGACTATGAACAAATAGTGAACTCTAGCTAGTAATGAGAGCACTGAAGTGTTAGGAAGGAAACGTACAAATTTATGCAACTAATATTAAAGTGCATAGAAATTGCATAGAATTACCAAGGATACATGAGGCCCTGAGTTATTGGGACACAGCACTACAAAAAAAAAAAAAAAAAAAAAAAAAAGACAAGGATTAAGATGGATGAATCCATAGATAGAGATCAATAGATATAAAAGCAAACATGCTCCAAACATTAATTGCATCATCCAGGGGTCAGTATGTAGGGGTATCAACTATATAACTTGCCCAAATTTGCTGTGTTTGAAAATCCTTCATAGTAAAATGCCAGGAGCTAGCTACTTGGGAAGCTAAGGCAGAAGGGTTATAAGTTTGAGGCCAGCCTGGGCAACTTAGCCAGATCTTGTCTTAAAATAAAGTTTACAAAAAGGGCTGGGGATGTAGGTCATGGATAGATCACTTTTATATCTTGTGTGAAGCCCTAAGTTCTATCCCCAGAGCCAAAATATAAATAAGTAAAATATAAAATAAATAAAAATATAAATAAGCAAAATAAAATGCTAGGGACTGGCTATAGTTAGGGTTTGGAATGTCCTCCAAAGGCCCAGTGTTAAAAGTTTGGGCCCGAGCGTGGCACTACTTGGAGGTGGTAGAAACTTTAAGAGGTGGGCCCTAGTGGGAGGTTGAGGGTCCTTCATTAGTGCTGTCACAGGGGATTGTGGGTCCCATTCTCTTCCTGTGGCTTCTTTGATCCACCACATGCTCCTGCCATGATGTGCTGCTTCTCCACAGACCCAAAGTGACAGGGCCAACCTGTCATGGACTAGCACCTCCAGAACTGTGAACCAAAATAAACCTTTCCCTCTGTAAGTTGATTATTTTAGGTATACATGAGAGTAACAGAAAATCGGCTAACACAGGTCTCTGTCCTGAGCCTCCCACAAGAAAGCCTGTCTCCCCACCTGAACAGGAGGACGCCCTCATGCCTAGTGCATCCACACAGGGGTTGGTTCACTTCCCCCAAAGCAGTTCCTCTCCCTGCACCTCCTCCTCAGGGGTGGATTCCAATTCACCAAGCTGTGAAGGTGGGTGATACCAAAGCAAACCATATTCAGATATTAATTGCATTATCCAGGGATGAATATATAGGGATTTCACTGTGTAATTCTTTCAGTTTTGCTGGATGTTTGAAGTCATTCATAATAAAATGCTGGGATCCTGCTACAGTTCTCACCAATTATTGTGTCTCACTATTTTTTTTAACACTTTTATTTTGTTTATTTATTTTTTTAAAATGTGGTGCTAGGGATAGAACCCAGTGCCTCACCTGTGCTAGGCGAGTGCTCTACCACTGAGCCACAACCCCAGCCCCACCCCTGTGTCTCACTATCTTGGGACGACCAACTGTTCCAATTTATCTGGGACTGAAGGGTTTCCCAGAATGTGAACTTTCTGTGATAAAACCAAGACAGTTCAAGAAAAACTAGAATGAGTTGGTCCCCAACCTATCATTTCTGCCTTTTTCTTATTTTTTATTTTATTTTTTTAAAGAGAGAGAGAGAGACAGAGAGAGAGAATTTTTTAATATTTATTTTTTAGTTTTCGGCGGACACAACATCTTTTTTTGTATGTGGTGCTGAGGATCGAACCCGGGATGCACGCATCCCAGGCGAGCGCGCTACTGCTTGAGCCACATCCCCAGCCCTTCTGCTTTTTTCTTAATTAAAAAAATATTTAGGGCTGGGGTTGTGGCTCAGTGGTAGAGCGCTTGCCTAGCAAATTTGAGGCATTGGGTTTGATCCTCAGCACCACATAAAATAAATAAATAAGTAAATAAAATAAAGGTATTGAGTCTATCTACAACTAAAAAAAATATTTAAAAAAATATTTATTTTTGCAGTGCTGGGTATCAAACCTCAGGTTTTGTTTTTCACATTCTAGACAAGTGCTCTATTCACTGAGCCCCATCCCAAACATGCATTTCTGTCTCTTAAATGTACTCAGTTTATCCGAATTACCACCACTTGACCTAATACTCACACACATAATAGCAGAAATAATAATGAACAGTGACAGCTGGCTTAGAGTGTTGCTGGCCATGTGCAAGGTAGTGTTGTGCATCCTTCCACTGTGGCTAATCACTTGATCCACACACTCTGACTAAGCAACTTTAACATCTTCCACGTTAGAGATGAAGTATGGCACAGAGAGGTAAAGTTTCTGGCCCACAGTTACACAGCTAAATAACAGCAGAGGACCTAGAATCTGAAACAGAAAGTCCACTGAGAAGTGCCCAAGCTTACCCACCTTTATTCACTCATTCAATTTATTTATTCATTGGAACAAAGCATTGAATTCAGATACTTATCCATGCTAACCATGCAATCTACCTCAAAGATACAGCCCCAAATACCACATTTTACTTTGGTTTCTATTGTACCAGCACTTCTTAGTGTGTACTGACTAGAGTACTTGAAGTTTTGTACCAAGATACAGGGGTATAAATACAGATACGGATCTCTCTCTCCCTCTCTCTCCAACTAACCAGGAGTCGTGGGAGAGTCTCCAAGAGTTATGTCCCAGCTGATTACTAATGATGACACTTAGGGGCTGGGAATGCAGCTCAGTGGTGGAGCTTAGCATGGGTGAGGTCATAGGTTCAAGCTCCAGCACCAAAATAAAAACAAAAGCAACCACACACACACACAGAAAAAAGGCACCACTTAAAAATGAGTCAATGGAATCCAATCCAGGAGGGTGGGGAGAGCCTGCCTATTCCGGCTGGATGGAAGATGGACAGAACAGTGTGTCCTGAAAGGGCATCCCTTCATTCCATCATTTCCCTAATGATTCCTGAGCGACCACCTGTGCGGGCTTCCAATTGCAAATGCCAGAAAAACAGAGAGCATTCTTGTTCCTTTGAGTTCACACCGTGGGGGAGAGAGATGGAAAACAAGATAAACCAGTCTGTCAGCAGTGATAATTGATTCAGAGAAAACTATAGCAAGATGATAAGCTTGTGGGCTGCGGACAGGCTGGGGGTGTAGGTCCGAGGCAGAGCCTTTGCCTAGCAGGCAGGAGGCCCTGGATTCCATCCCCAGCACACCCCGAAAGATAAGTTAAAGGGAGGGAAATACAGTGGGCCAGGAAGCCACTAGGTATCTGAGTCAGGAAGAATCCTACAGTCAGCCAGAGCCGCAAGTGAGAAGGCCTTGAGGTCAGAGGACTCGGGATGTTCCTGGGAGGGTGTGGAGGTCAGAGAAGCAGAACAAAGGGAGGGGGCTGGAAATTAGGGAAGGGTTGGGGAGGAAGGGAGGGAGGGAAGGAAGGAGGGAGGGGAGGACAGGCCTGGGATTGACTTCTTCGTCTGGGGTTGAGTTGACATTGGTACTGGGAAAAAGGACATGGGTGGGAGCTGGGGATATTGCTCAGTTGGTAGAGTGCTTGCCTTACATGCACAAGGCCCTGGGTTTAATCCCCAGCACCACACACACAAAAATCATAATGATAAAATAAAATAAAAGGACATGGGTGGAGGCGGAAGGAGACTTTGAACCAAATCCTAATCCAACCCCACAGAAAATCTGCAGAAGGGGTCTCTTCTGGTGAATCCAGAGAGAAGACCCTCTTCTGAACACTGGAGGGGACCAGAGAAATATACAAGGATCTACAGGTTTTATCACATGCCTCCCCTGAAGAAATTATGGTTAATTTAACTTATTTATTTATGCAGGGTGAGGAGGATGCCAGGGATTGAAACTAGGGCTTTGCAGGTACTAAATATATGTTCTACAATTGAGCCACACTCCCAGCCCCCTAGGTCTACTTAACTTTAATCATGCACACATACTGTGGGTTTTTTTTGTTTTGTTTTTTGCTTTTATAAATTTTAAAAATAAAGTGTGAATGATACTGCCGGTTATCGGTGAGGACTCCTGCTTCCCCACATGTTGAAGTTTGAACATTAGAGAGGCACGCCGAGACAAGCATATATAAAGCAGGGTTTATTTAAAAAGGGGTAACAGACTTTGCCCGCGAGGGAGAAGGGGGCCGTAGCTGGTATCCTGGTATCCCCAGAAGCGAGGCGTTCTGCCCTTTTTCTGTGTCTGTCCTGGGCTTCCTTTGTTCTCCTGCCCTTTCCCCCTTATCCTTCTATCCTTCTTCCTGCATACGTGACAAGGCCCAGGAATGCCCCATGGGAGGACCAAAAGTGGGAAACAGGTGGGCTGAAGAGGGAAGAGCAGGGTGAGTAGCCCCGGGCACATTAACAACCTTATGGCTTCCTGCAGGGAGAGCAAATTCCTGCGACAGGTTACCTTGGAAGCAGGTTGGAGCAGGGGCAGGCTCTTGCTAAGAGTAGAGGAAGGGCTCTGAAGGAATTAACATTTTAATCCCCCAGGGGACAGTCTCCAACACCCCAGACTCACTCAAAATTGGCCTCCTTGATCCGACCTGACTCGATTTACCTATCTACACTGACTGCCTGTCTAATTCTGGCTTCACTAACACTTAAATGAAAAAGTTATAAGGAAACACTTTCTCTACTTAATGGACTGAAGCATCGCCCAATTCTAGAATTGAAAGTGAAGCCAATGAAGATCATTAAACTAAAAAAAAAATTAAATTTTTAAAAAAAGTTATCAAATGGTACCAAAAGTATCCTATTTTTCTAAAGATAAATGCAGGCACAGAGGGCCTGGGGATGTGGCTCAAGCGGTAGCACGCTCGCCTGGCATGCGTGCAGCCCGGGTTCAATCCTCAGCACCACATACAAAGATGTTGTGTCCGCCGAAAACTAAAAAAATAAATAAATAAATATTAAGATTCTCTCTCTCTCTCTCTCAAAAAATAAATAAATAAATAAATAATTTACACCTATCATTCAAAGTTCTTAAAAAAAAAAATGCAGGCATAGAAAAAGTAATAGGGTACAGTGGTGCCCATCTGTAGTTCCAGCTTGGCAGACGGCTGTGGTGAGGAACAGGGATCATTTGAACTGGGAGTTGAAGGCCAGCCTGGGCAACATGGCGAGACCTCATTTCTTACCAAAAAAAATAATAATAAAAATAATAAAATAAAAGAAGACAAACGCATTTTTTTGGGGGAAGGGTACCAGAGATTGAACTCAGGAGCACCCCACCACTGAGCCACATGCTCAGCTCTATTTTGTATTGTATTTAGAGATGGGGGTCTCACTGAGCGCCTGCTAAGTTGCTGAGGCTGGCTTTGAACTTTTTGAACTGAGGCTGCCCATCCTCCTGCCTCAGCTTCCTGAGCCACTGGGATTACCCCCAGGCCCAGCGTGAAAAGGCATTTCTTGGCTGTGTTGCTATTTACAAAACTCAAGGCTTTCTCCAGACTTCATCAGTTTTCCACACGGCCTCTTTCTGGTACAGAATTGCGTCCAGGACCCTACACTTCATCCAGTCCTCATGCCTCCTCAGTCCCGTCCAGTCTACAACAACTCTGGATTCGTTTGTAGAGCACTGGTCGGGTATTCTGTTGACTGTTCTTCGATGTGGGCTTGTCTGTTATTTATTTTTCTCAACAACAGCCTGTGGTGATGAGTTTCTGAAAGAAACCACAGACAGGAGGTGTCCTCAGATACTAGCAGAAAGACACATGGTACCAATGAGAGAGAACTATGACGTTTCATCTGGGTACCAATGAGAGAGAACTATGACGTTTCCTTAAGGTGGCATCTGCCAGGTGTCTGCCATTGCAAAGTCGCTATTTTTCACTTTTCCATACATTATCCTCTGGGTGGAGGGCGGGGGATGGGAAAGGAGTTAAGCTCCTTTCTAGGGCTCTGGGGTTACTCAGGCTTTTTGGAATTCTAAGGAAAAAATTGACTCTTCTCCCCTCTCTTCTGTTTGTTTGGTGCTGGGGATGGAATCCAGGGCCTCATGCATGCTAGGCCAGCGCTCTACCTCCGAGCGACACCCCCAGCCTTTCACACACATTTTAAAGTCCAGGAGCCCCGCGGCTGAAGATGTCAGGCCTCCTTCCTAGATCTTGGCTCAGCCCAGAGTTGAGGCTCCTCCAGCGCTACCACCCGAGGCAGTGGGTCAGTGGGCGCCCCAAGTGCGTTGGGCAGGTGGCAACTCCCAGTTGGCGTCGGGGGCTGGAGGTGCGGGAGGAGGAGGAGGAGGCGATCGCGTCCTGGAGCTGACCTCTCGGCCAAGCCACAACCGCAATGCATGGGTTTGAGCAGCTTCTGGAGTCTTTAGCCCATTTCACAGACGCCAAGCCGGCCTCTGCGAGGCGTGGCCACGGCTCTTGGTGGCGGCTCCGGGTTCGGGGTGGGGAGGCGGAGGCACCCGCCCTCTCCGCCTAGGCTCACCTGGGGCTGGCCTAGGGCCCGCGGGCAGGGCCGGCCGGCTGCCACCTTCTTAAAACCCGGGCAGCCCCAGAGCGAGCCCCACTGTGTATCTGCAGCTCAGCTCGGGTGGCAGCGCTTGGACTCGACCCTGAACCCACCGACCGCAGGTGAGATCCCCCGCCAGGGCTCTCGGCACCGCGCCCCCGAGGGAGGGGTCTCAGCCAGCCCTCTTACTCACTTCCTTCCTGTTTGTCTCGGCTGAGAGGTTGGGGGGTAGGGAGAGGGGACCCACAGCAAGCCCTAGCTGGGTGACCGTCGACCCTCTCTGTGCCTGTGTCCTTGACATTGAATGAGGGTTTCTCCATCCGCGCTCGCTCGCAGGGATTGGAGGGACTGGTGGTGAGTGTCCAGGGAACGCGTCTGGGCGGTGTTCAAAGCAGAGGAGGGAGGCCAGGGGGTGAGGAGCCGGCCACACCCCTGCACTACCCAGCCCTGTTCCTCTCCCTCTGAGGCTGGGCTTCCATGAACCGCCTGCCGGCAGCTGCTCAGGGTATGAGGGTCAGAAGGCTGCAGTCACATGATCTGTCTCCAGAGGCCTCCTGCCTGGGTTCCTCCTGCTGGAAAGGGGGGTGGGAGACTAGGGAAGGGTGTGGGACGACTTCCTGGAAAAGGGAGGCCACCACGGCCGCTTTTGTGCGGGATGGAGAAGTGGGAGAGCACTGGGACCCTGGAGAGTCCCATGCTCAGATGTTGTCAAACAACACGTCACTGAGACACACAGTTCACGTGAGAGACACAGCACAACTCGGCCTGTAAGATGGACTTGCAAATTCTGGTCCACACACACTTCTACACAATGCTCCGCAGGAGAACTCTAGCAGGTTAACATAGGACTTGCTGGCTCAGCAGACATGTCTCTCCACAGCCCAGGCCTCCCCTGCAGAGAGCAGAGACCCAGGCAGGCCTGATCAGCCACACACAGGAAACAGCCCCACCCAGACATGGTCGGACAAGCGTGTCTTCAGAGCACACAGATGTGCATGATGTTCTCAGACACGTAGTATATAACCCACAGCCTCATGCACACATTGCACGTGCACACACACAGATGCACAGACACACTCGGAAACACAGGACACCTCTGCCCACAACACAAACGAGCCCCTGCAGGCAGCCCAGAGGCTGTGCAGGCAGCGCTGCTTCCCACGGGAGTCCAGACCCCCTGCCGGAATCCCATGTCCAGTTCTGGGGAAGTCCAGGGCTCACATGACCCAAGGGGAGGGCTTCTGGGACAGTCCTCGGAGAAACTGCATCATCCTCTCTAGTGATCCGCTTCCACCCCAGGGAATAAAGGCTCTGTGACCTCCACTTCTGCCCTGGAGCCCACCTGCCTCTCGTAGCCCCCACAGCCTGACTTGTGTCTCCCCCAGGGTGAGTGCTGGGTACAACAGAATGAGGGGGGGTGGAAGGGCCCTGCAGAGCCACTCTCCCTGGCCCCTGGAGTCCTTCCAGCCAGTTCATGCCACAGTGTCCTGGGAACTAGACACCCAAGGGTTTCCTGCTGCGCCAGCCCTGTAGGGAGGGGTCTCCTCTTCTCTCAGAGCAGGGCAGTCTGGGGTCTCAAGGGTTTGCTCCCCAGCCTCAGCCAGGGCCCCAGACATGTTCTCTCCCCTCCAGATGGACACATGGACGGTGCTGCTGGTCCTGCAAGCCTCGCTGCTGCTCCCTCTGGCTGACTGTACTGCCCCCACCCCCACCCTGCGCTTTGTGGCTGTGGGTGACTGGGGAGGAGTCCCCAATGCCCCGTTCCACACAGCCCGGGAGATAGCCAACGCTAAGGAGATGGCCAGAACTGTGCAGACCATGGGTGCAGACTTGATCTTGTCCCTGGGGGACAACTTCTACTTCAATGGCGTGCATGATGTCAATGACAAGAGGTTCCAGGTGTGTGATTGGCAAAGTAGGGGGATGGCAGTGGGAAGAAGCCACCCAATCTGGTGACCTTCTGGGGAGGGCAAAGGGAAGCTGACTGGGAACCCACCAGTGCCTGGAACACACACTAACTCCCTGGTCCCTGGGCCCTGATTTTGTGGCTGCATTGGGGTAGCTGTTGACCCTTATTGGGTGGGGGGTGTCCTTTCTCTTGGCCGCAGGAGACCTTTGAGGATGTGTTCTCTGACCGCTCCCTGCGTAATGTGCCCTGGTATGTGCTGGCGGGGAACCATGACCACCTGGGCAACGTCTCGGCACAGATTGCCTACTCCAAGGTCTCCAAGCGCTGGTGAGCCTGCACTGCCTCTCACGCACAGCGACAAAGGGGCCCGAGACAGCTCTGGTGCTTCTCTGCCCAAAATGCTCACACCTGACCTCGGTTTCCTCCACAGGAACTTCCCCAGCCCCTTCTACCGCCTGCACTTCAAGATCCCACGGACCAACACATCTGTGGCCATCTTCATGCTGGACACTGTGACGCTGTGTGGCAACTCGAATGATTTCCTCAGCCAGCAGCCTGAGAGGCCCAAAGACCTGACGCTGGCCCGAGCCCAGATGTCCTGGCTCAAGAAGCAGCTGGCGGCAGCCAAAGAGGACTACGTGCTGGTGGCCGGCCACTATCCTGTGTGGTCGATTGCGGAACATGGACCCACCCGTTGTCTGGTCAAGCACCTGCAGCCACTGCTGGTCAAATATGGGGTCACTGCCTACCTGTGTGGCCATGACCACAACCTGCAGGTGAGGACTCTGTGGGTGGGGAGGGGAGCCAGGTTCTTAGCTCTGGTGTCCTCCTGCTGTTTGGGGGCCTCCTGTGGCCTTCTGAAGGGTTTGAATTTGAATTTTCTCTCTATCCAGGAAAATACCCTAAAGTTTCATAAAAATCATGACAATAGTTGCTTACTAGTGCTGGACCTGTGAGGTGGCATTAATACACCCCTGTAGGGGAAACTGAGGTCGGGGGGGTTGTGCATTTTGCTGAAAAAACATCATGGGGTCAGGGACAGATTTGGCCCTGTGCCCAAGGCAGCCGTGGGTGGAACCCCTGGTTAACCCCAAGTCAGGGCTGGGGACTCCACTGACCTTGCCTCCTCCTCTGTCCTCAGTACCTTCAAGATGAGAAAGGAGTGGGCTATGTGCTGAGTGGGGCGGGGAACTTCATGGACCCTTCGGTGCGGCACCAGCGCAAAGTCCCCAACGGCTACCTGCGCTTCCACTATGGGGCCGAGGACTCACTGGGTGGCTTTGCCTATGTGGAGATAAGCCCTAAGGAGATGACCGTCACATACATCGAAGCCTCAGGAAAATCCCTCTTCAAGACCAGCCTGCCCAAGCGAGCCAAACCCTGAACACCCAGGAGGACCCTGCCTGCCCACTTGGAGGCCGGAGGCAGTGGGGCTTCTACAAGGGTGGTGTGTGGCCCTGTGGAGACCCCAGCCACAGGTAGGTTGTCTCTCAGGCCCCTGGTGCACTGGTAGATCAGGAAAGAGAGCCACAGCACCACATGGCCATGGTGGCACAGATGCCCACACATGTGAATGAAGCATGGACATGTGTTCCGGCCGGCATGTCACTCCCCATGGGCAGACTCACCTAGGCTGAGTTTTGGGGAGCTGGGAGGAAGAGAGGGAAAACTTGTTCCTGAAGCAATCATGTTTCTGTTACTGCCATTTAATAAAAGCATAACTGTCAAGGCTTCATGTGTGCCTGGAATGTGTTGTCTCTTTAGGGTTAGAGCGCCCAGGCTCTCCTGAGCCTCTGCCCCCTGCTTCCACCACCTCCTAACCTATCCATAACCAAGTGTCCTCATACATGCATATGATTCCCAGGGCAAAATAGTGAGACTGGGTCTCAAAAAACAAAACAAACAAACAACAAAAACAAAACAAGCAGGAAGAAAGATACAAAATGAAGCAAGTCTTCTAGGCCAAATCTGCAGGCCCTCTCTCCAAACCATGCCCTCCTCTAGCCAGGTATGGTGATGCACATCTGTAATCCCAGGGACTTGGGAGGCTGAGGCCAGAGCATCGCAAGTTCAAAGCCAGCCTCAGAACAGTGAGGCACTAAACAACTCAGTGAGACCCTGTCTCTAACTGAAATACAAAACAGGGCTTGAGATGTGGCTCAGTGGTTGAATGCCTCTGAGTTCAATCCCTGGTACCACTCCCAAAAAAGAGCTGGAGATCTAGTTCAGTGGAATAGCACCCCCAAGGGCAATATCCAATACCAGAAAACCTCAACCGGTGCCTTCCCTCTTCCCAGCGGCAGCTGCCATTATTATGTTCTTTTTCTAGAAATAAGTTGATTTTTTTTCATAATAAAAAAAATCTTCCTTTTGTGTTTTTTTCTTATTTTTGGAGGTGCTGGGGGTTCAACTGAGGGCCTTGGGCATGCTAAGCTTGTGTTTTGCCACTGAGGCACACCCCCAGCCAACATCCTCCTTTTCTACCCTAGAGTGACACACACAATTCTGCATGGGGTCCTTCCACTATTTAATGATGGTCCTTCCATGGTTTGTCTGAGGACATTCATCTTTGTTGGTTTGTATATGGATCCAGTAACACGTTCACACCATTCGCAATCTGAATTTCGGTAGAAAAGTGTAATCCCTTACCCCTTCCCTGTCCCAGCTCACCCCATTCCTTCCCCTCTCCTGAGGAAATGCCTTTTTATAAATGCCATGTCTTTCCCCCCCTGAATTTCTTGGTGCAAATCAAAACAAAGGGTAATTGGCTTTTTTCCTCCTTCTCACTGATCTGAACTTTGCTTTTTTTTTTTTTAAACAGTTTTACTGAAGCATAATTTACACATTTTAAGTGTATAGGTTGCTAAACTCTGTGTGTGTGTGTGTGACGCTGGGGATGGAACCTAGGACCTCATGCATGCTGAGCACACACCCTACCGCTGAACTACACCCCCATCCCTGGTTTGATAAGTTTTGAAAAAGGCACAAACCCACACACAGCATTTCCATCTGCCCCAAAGTTCCCCTTTGTGTATACCATTGTTTTTCTTATGTACTGAGGGTCATCTGAATTATTTCCAATAATTTTGCAACCCTCAAATAGTGCTGCAAGCAGTGATCTTGCACATTCTTTTATACACGTGCAGACATGTTTCTGGATAAACAGGATTTGCTCTCAGGGTGAATTGCTTTTTTTTTGGTCACCTTCTCTTGGTAGTGCTGAGAATCAAACCCAGTAGCTAGTGCATCTCAGCAAGTATGCTAGCTTGAGCCACACAGCCAGCCCAGATTGCCTTTGTTTAGACAGCCACCGAGCCTCCACCTCATGTCACTGGCTCCTTGCTGGTGATCTTTGAGGTCTTTTTCAATCTTCCCTTTTTTTTTTTAGTAACTTATTCTTT